CAACATCAGCACAACACACAGTGTCTTCCTGCTCTGCATTCAAGTAGTGTAGGAAATGTCCCTTATGGGAGACATGGATGTTGGAGTTTTATGGGAGGTATCCGTTCCTCTGAGGTGACATCAGTTAAGTAGGCTAGGCTGATGTACTCAAACCGTTCCTTGGTCAGGATTCAAGGACTGATGCCCTGACTTGGATGGCCCAGGCAAACCCAATCTCGTCAAATCTCAGAAGCTAAGCAGGGCTGACCCTGGCAAGTATGTGGATGGGAGACCTCCAAAGAATACCAGGGTGGGAGGCAGAGACAGGCTATCATGCCACTTTTCTGTATGTCCTCCATGCCCCAGTAGGAGTTGCCAGAGGTCGCCATGACTTCCAGGAACAGGCACACACACACACAATACAAAAGGACTGACACAGCTAGTTCCACTTGACCTGGATGGGCTTACCCCATATTAAACTTTTTCTGAAACTGAGGGGACTTCAAAAAACAGTTGATGGTGTGTTGATTGTTGGCAAGAACCTAGATATGTTGATGGTTGACAAGAACCTTATAGTGCATGCCAACAGCCCTGGGCACACATAAAGTAACTTTTCAGGTTATGACCATTCTTCTAACAAGAGATATTGGCCTGTTCCACATACTGACCTGACTCCCAATCTTCTGTGTGGGTGATCTCCAAGTTTTGGAACTGAGCAGTCCGCACCTTGTCCTCTTTTCCATATTATTTCCTGCTTTGAATTCATAGTTTTCACACTGGATCACAATGTTCACCCGAAGAAGATAAATGAGGGCTCGCAGGTAAATAAATAGACATTTATAGTCAGGGAAAGTGATCGGATAATGGTGAATTCAGAAGGCAATATTTTATGATGTACTTTATAGATGCATTCCTTATTGCCCTGCCATGGCTAAGTTTAGAAATGTAGACCCCTGTTTGATGGCTGGGGGAGAATACCATAACTGTTAAATGCATTTTTCTGCTGTTCTAGGTTGGATTGGATGTGGCTATAAAGGAAGCAGAGGAAATGGCTACAACTGGGACCTCGGTAAGAAATATTGCCATGTTTCTGAGTCCACAGATAAAGACTAACAGAAGAAACAATGGCTTGAAACAACTTTAATATGGACAGTAACTAACATACATTGTACCACAGTCTTGGGGCCTAACCCCACATTATGTTTCCCTTGGTCCTACCCACATCTTTGTTACCTATGCGCACTTGTAAATTCTGTGCTGGGAATTCAATGTCCAGGATCATGGCACATGAGAAGAAGGGGCTTTTGCTGTCTCCTTCCACTGGTTTCCCTACCTTAAATTGCCCTGGGGTGCTATTTGCTTCAGTGGGGTACACAACGTTTTCCCCAATGAGCAAACAGTACTCCCCAGATTGTTTCAGGGTAGAAAAATGGTGCAGGAGTGGAAGACATAAAAACCCTGCCCCCCTCCCCTGCCTTTTACTCACTGAAACCCAGCCTGGAACACTGCTGTTGCCTAGCAACAGCCACTGAGTGAATCCCTTCCTTAAAGCTACAGGGTCATGGCCCATGAGAAGAAGGGGCTTTTGCTGTCTCCTTCCACTGGTTTCCCTACCTTAAATTGCCCTGGGGTGCTATTTGCTTCAGTGGGGTACACAACGTTTTTCCCAATGAGCAAACAGCACTCCCCAGATTGTTTCAGGGTAGGAAAATGGTGCAGGAGTGGAAAACATAAAAACCCTGCCCCCTCCCCTGCCTTTTACTCACTGAAACCCAGCCTGGAACACTGCTGTTGCCTAGCAACAGCCACTGAGTGAATCCCTTCCTTAAAGCTACGGGTGCTCCTTTCATCATTTTAGCATTTTAACGCACGCACCCCAATGCATTTTTTTGGGATTTCATATTTTCCTGCAAACCTAGGGCCCTTTTCAGGTTTGTAGAAAGATCTGTCTTGCCTGTTCACATCTCCAGTCACCGGATTTAGGTATCCATAGATTTTCTGACTTCTCTATTAGTATATAGATGTCTCTACATTGTAAAACTTTTGACTACCAATAGCGTCTCAAAGTTTTATTTTTCATCATTATCACATTTGATTAGAAATGTTTCATTCTGAATCCTGGTCAACATCAAATGTTGGGGCCAGCTTTTCGAGGGTGACTGGGTCCAACCTAGCTCCCCCTTGCCATTTGGCCCTGTCCCTTCACCCCCTCCTTCCCCATATTGGCCCTTCCTCTTTGGCTTTACCCTTCCTCCTTTAACCACACCCCCTGCGACCAAAGAGGATGGAGCCCCACCAGCGGGAGGCGATGACCCACTTTCTCCCTACTCCATCGAGGATGCAGCAGGAGAAGCAGAGGGAGAAAGCAGGTTGCCGCCTCTGACTAGACTTCTTCATCCTTGCCGCAGCTGCTGCCCTGCCGAAGGGTGGGCAGTGGGGGTGGAGAAGCTGATCACTGGTTCACGCCAACCTGCCCCTTGTGGCTAAAGAGCCCATAAGAGGCTGTTGGAGGGTGAGGACCTAGAATCATAGAAGCACAGAGTTGGAAGGGGCCACACAGGCTGTCTAGTCCAACCCCCTGCTCAGTGCAGGATCCGCCTACAGCATCCCTGACACGGATTGAAGACTGCCAGTAAGGGGGAGCTCACCACCTCCCTAGCCAGCTGATTCCACTCTTGCACAACTCTTAGTGTAAAAAAGTTTTTCCTGATATCCAGCCAGTACATTCCTGCCCTTAATTTAAACTCATTATTGCGAGTCCTATCCTCTGCGGCCAACAGGAACAGCTCCCTGCCCTCCTCTAGGTGACAGCCCTTCGAATACTTAAAGAGAGGGATCATGTCCCCCCTCAGCCTCCTCTTCTCCAGAGTAAACATTCCCAGGTCCCTCAGCCTTTCCTCATAGGGCTTGGTCTCCAGGCCCCTGATCATCCATGTCACTCCCCTCCATTCTGTCCACATCCTTTTGGAATTGAGGCCTCCAGAACTAAACTCAATACTCCAGGTGCAGCCTGACCAATGCAGTGTACAGCAGGACTATGCCATCTTGCGATCTGTCTCCGCTCCTACCTCTGCCTCCTACCTCCATGTACACGCACACCCACTGTTGCCATGTGCATTCACTGTTGCTGGTAGTGGCAGTGAGCCCCCTGGGCAGCACTCAGGACCCAGGAAGTGCCCCGCCTTTCCAACCGCTGATGCCAGCCTTGATCAAATGATGAAAAATATTCCTGCATGAACAATAAGTTTTACGGAAGCTACAGAATGGCCAGGACAATGGAGGATTTAATCAGAAGAAATCCAGAGACCCACTTTAAAATAACTTGGTAGAAGTAGAAGTGATCGCCTCCAGCCTGGATCCATTGCCTTCCACTTGCTCTTTACCTTCCCATTCTTGCTTGCTCTGGTCTTGACAGCAAATCAAGAATCTTCCCAAGATAGCAGAACTGCAGAATGTTAATCGAACGATCCTGCTCCTTGGGAGAAGAGCTGCTCCTTGTAATTACTGAGGCCAGATTTTTGCATTGAATCAAGACCTTGATGTTGGCCCAATTCTGAGATAGCAATTTCCCATTCATACATGCATGTTTTTCTGAAGCAATTTTCTGAGAAGCGGTTTAGTGAGTTGCTAGGTGGAAACTGTAATTTTCCCTGAGCACGATGCAGTCAGGTTCATGGTTTCAATTGTGGAATAATTATATGGGTAACAAATGTTTCCCCGTGTAGACATGCACCAGCTCCTTAAAAAATTGAGGGTGTGAGCACACAATGTTGTATTGGAAGAGGCTGTTTGAAGTCCAAATGTGTTGATGGCATTTTTAACTTGCAGAAAAAAGACTGAAGAAAATTCGTTTGCCTACTGGCTAGATAACACTTTTACTTTTATGTTTCGGTTGAGCTATATAGTTTACTTCCCATTTTCTCTGGGCCTTTGATTGCAGAGCAAATTTTTGGTTTTTTGCTGTTTGCAAAGGAATTATGATATTGTTTCTTTCTGTGTTCTTGGTGCAGAACAGGTCACAGAAGTGAAAACTGAGATTTCTAATTAGGCCAGGGTTAATGCCAAACAGAAATGCCTGCAATAAACAACCCACTGTAAATAAGTACTTTCATCTACGCTGCAGAAGCAACAGAGGGAATGTGACCTTCTTCTCTGTTAAACATCATAGGATGCTTCTATACTAGCCGTTTAGTCTGGAAGAGGCTTCATTTATTCACCCAGTTATAACAGGAAATCCAGACATTAATGTCAACTTGTTGCACAACAGCGTTTTCTATGTTGTTTGTCTTTTAAAACAAACTTCTTTGCAGTTACCATTTACATTAAACGTATAAATTGTGCTGTATCTGCACCTTGTCAGATCTCGGAAGCCCCGGTCAGTCTTTGGAAGGGAGACTACCAAGGAATACCAGGGTCATGATGCAGAGACAAGCAGTGGCAAACCACCACTGAATGTCTCTTGCCTTGAAAACCCCAACGGGGATGCCATAAGTCAGCTGCGACTTGATGGCAAAAAAAATAAAAAATAAAATCCAAGGATGCTGAACAATACAAAATGGCATACCTTAGGCTGAAATGGAAAACCTGAGAGATTAACTGATGTTCCCTCTACTTTTATCATCCCTAAAACCCATAGAAGCCCAGAGGGCTTTTCAGATTCAGGCCTTGAGTTAGATTTACATCTAATTTGTTTTCAAATTACTTTCAAAAGCTAGACATGCACAGCTTTGAAAATGTTGCAGTCTTTTAGTCATTGTGCATCAGAAAGTTCTACAGTGCATCATGGAAGAGATATCTGAAGATAGTTGGTATGTTATATATTACCAATTATTTTGGGCATTTATGGCCACTGAGTTTCCATAGTTGCAGTCAAAAGAGGATATGTACAGTAAATGGCAATATTTTCAGTTTTTCATGCATACCTCACTGTATTCTTCTAGAGAGCGCCCAAGTAAGTAATAGTGTAGATCTTTCTGTCAAACAGTCTCAGGACAAATTTACATGCTTCATTTTTGGTATAGGGAAATCTAACATCAGGTGAGTAATCTTTGCAGTTTTTCAGTGCTTTCTGAATCTCACAAATGCTCTCCCACCTGTAATTTTGAGATATAGCTACAGAAGATAATTTTTAATAGGAGAAATTCCACGGTTGTAGCCTGGAGCTTACTTGGGGCCAATCTAATACTGAAATATCAACAGAAGATTGTGCAGGTACACCATGAATTAATTTGGGGCAAAGAGCTCCAATGACTAGCATTGATAAAGATTCATGACATACATTTAAAAAACCTTAATATTATGAGAGTAAAAATTCCTGTTGTTCTGTATCTGAGTGAGGAATCTCCACTGAGTATTAAAATGAATGTAGTCTTTTCATACACAAGGATAAATGTACCCTGTTTACGAAATCATTCTTTTTAATAACAAAGTTCAGTGACAGCATTTTCTCTCCAGACAATATTTGTCTCCTCTTCTCCAATCTTTTAAAGACAATTCAGTGGTGCTTTGAAGTCTGTGAGCGGATGGATTCATTCTCAAGACGTTTAAAGCTCAGTCGTTATTATATACCACCTGTTTATCAAGGTGATTTTAACTACAGTTGTTGGGGAAGCAGTTACAGAACCCCGGTGAGCTGATAATTTGTTTCTTACTCCTAGAAAAAAAGTCCGTGGCTTGTCAAACATATGTTCACTTCCTCTAATGAAGGAGCTGTGCGAGAAAATAGAAAAGTATGTATAAGTTGTATATTTTTTTTAACCATTTCACTGTAGAAAGATTTCACCTTGCATGCTGGGTTTTTATTTTTCCAACATGTTTCATGCCCACCAAGTTTTCAGAATAGGGTGGGGCCAGCGCCAGAGCCACGGAGACGTAAGCTGGAGGAAAACATGGAGTCCTCCTCCTGCAAAGTAGTCCGTACTTCGATGGCCTGGATCCAACCACCCTCCAATGAGTCTTTCTCAAGTTACATTTATCTTCTGTTGCACGAAGAGCCACATCATCATCATCATCATCATCATCATCATCATCATCATCATCATCATCATCATCATCATCATGCTTTCGATTTATTAATTGCTTTCCCCACAAGTGGGCTCAAAGTGATTTACAGTTACACTTTTAGACAGGGGACTAACAATGTTTCATAGGGGATAGGAAAGACAACATATAATTCATTTTTAATTGCACACGCCGTAACTGCACGGTGGAAACGTCTCTAGCTTGGATTGAAGGAAGGCTCCAGGAAGGCTCAGTGGAGTAGTGGTATAGGGGTAGCTTCCATCCCCCAGTGGCTTAGTGGTGGGGCAACTGCCTTGCGTGCAGAAGGTCCCAGATTCAATCCCTAGCATTTCCTCTTAAAGTGACCAGGTAGTACGTAATGGGAAAGACCGAGCAAGGGGACCTTTACCTTTACCTAGTACATGATGGGAAAGACCCCTACCCAACTCCTTGGAGAGCCACTGCCAGTCAGAGTAGGCGACAGAGACCTCGGCTTCCTCTTTGACTCTGTAAGTAACTGCCCTGATGTTCAGAGGTGGCATAGCCTTCAAAATGATGAACAAATGCATTGGTATTGTCTTGTGGGGCCCCAGGGCAATTTATCTATTTTGCCTCCCCTCACTGCACCCCTGCAGAGAACCCCCTTCCCCCCATTGTTCCCTCGTTTAGAGTCTCTCCTGTTTATCTCCACCCACCCATCTCCTCCCAGAGCTCATTTCCTGGGACTGATATTTGAGCTGAGGCTCCATTCCTCCCTTGAACTTGAGCTGGGGCAGCCGCTTCTATGGCCAGCAGAAACCCGCATTGCCCTCAGAAGGCTCTGCTGTTACGCTCTGTTGGCTGCAGTGTCATGTGTTGTGTTAGACATAGAATTAGGCTTCCCAAATCTGGTCTGGGAAATACCTGGAGATTTTGGGGGTGGAGCCCTTCTCCTGCAGTGGAGTTTGGGGAGGGGCCTCTGCAGGGTATAATGCCCAAGAGTCCGCCTTCCAAAGCGGCCATTTTCTCCAGGTGAACGGAGCAGCGTCTCCCGGGGATCAGTTATAATAGCGAGAGATTTCCAGCCACCACCTGGAGGTTGCCAACCCTACTTAGAACGCCATCCCTGGTTGACAAAGGAGACCACGTGATGGACGCTTGAATGCCACATGGGCTTTGGATCAGACACATGCCTGGAGTTTCATGCCGGGGACTCAGTTCTCAGGTGCACGTGAGCCTGATTCAGATTGGGACACGGACATGCATGGAAAGAGAGAGCGTTAGCTTCCCCCCTCCCCACCGGCGTTGTTTTCCTGACCTGAAACAGCCCCAATGAACCTGTTTGCCCCTTTGGGGAAACTTGCATATAGCCATCAGTGCATGTAAGTTTCCCTGGTGGGCAAATAGTGATTCTCCGGGGCCTCTTTTTGGGTGATGGAAACAGGACAAGGGGAAGGCTGAACCTGGCTTTCAGTGTGTTCTGTCATCCTGGTACAAATCAAGCCCTTGTACACCTGGGGATAAGGTTCACATCAGGGGATGCTAAAAACCTGTCTGTCCAAAGTACAAAGGGGACACGTGGACATTGTAATGTATGAATCAGGACTGAGTCTAGATTCTGTTCCACTTGTCACTGCACAGCCTGCAGCATAGAGTGTTAAAGTAAAGGTAAAGGTTCCCTTACTCGAAAGCCAGTCGAATCCGACTCTAGGGTTGCGGTGCTCATCTCCGTTTCAAAGCCGAAGAGCCAGCGCTGTCCGAAGACGTTTCCGTGGTCATGTGGCCGGCATGACTAAACACCAAGGCGCACGGAACGCTGTTACCTTCCCACCAAAGTGTTACCTATTTATCTACTTGCAATTTCTTGCTTTCGAACTGCTAGGTTGGCAGGAGCTGGAACTAGAGACGGGAGCTCACTCTGTCATGCGGCACACTCGGGTCTCGAACTGCTGAACTGCACCCACAGCCTGCAGTTCAGCGGCTTAACCACTTGAGCCACCGCAGCTCCCATAGAGTGTTACCCCGGCCCTGAAGATACCCGCGCATGTACTCATGCATACATATGTGTGCCCTTGGCACACAGGACCTTTGTATAGACTGGTGGCAGGACTCCCTCCCCGTGTTTACCATAAAGCAGCACTGGGCAGCTGTTTCAACCTAGCCATCTGTGGTCTCAGCCCAGTATGAGGGGATCAGTAGAGAGCTAAAAGCCTGGGGGAGCCAGTGTACTCCTCACCGACCCTCCCATTACTTGTGTCACAATGAAGCCAACTTTATCTCAGTGCAGCCTGATCAAGAACCTATCCATTCATCCATCCGTTACTTCCCTTTCTTCCCACTAGGGACCCAAAGTGGCTGACATCGTTTCCCTCTCCTCTGCATTTCATCCGTACAACAACCTTGTGAGGAAGATTGTGCTGAAAGCGTGTGACCAGGGGTCATTT